CAATCTCCCCTTGATCCTGTGTTGATTCCCTATTGATCCCCGATCAATCCCCCCATGGATCTCCAATCAATCTCGATCAATTCCCTACAGATCTCTTATTGATCTCTGATCAATCCCCCCATGATCCCTGATCAATCTCTGATCAGCCTCCCATCAATCAATCCCCTATTGATCCAGTGTCAATACCCTACAGATCCCCAATCAATCCCCAATCAATCAATCAATCAATCAATCCCCTATAGGTCCCCTATTGATCTGGTATCGATTCCCCCGTAATCCCCGATCAATCCCCTACAGATCCCCTATTGATCTCTGATCAATCTCCCCATGATCCCTGATCAGTCCCTGATCAATCCCCCATCGATCCTGTAGAACCCCATGGAACCTTCTGGAGACCCCGCGGAACCCTACAGAGCCGCTATGGAATCCTACAGAACCTTCTAGGACCCCACAGAACCCGGCTGAACCTCCCGGAGACCCCATGGGACCTTCTAGAACCCTCTGGAACCCTCTGGAACCCAACAGAGACCCCCATAGAACCCTACAGAATTCCACGGAACCTTCTGGAGGCCCTATGGAACCCCATAGACCGGTCTAGAACTTTCTAGAGACTCAATGGAACCTTCTAGAACCCCATGGAACCCTCTGGAACCCAACAGAGACTCTGTAGAACCCCACGGAACCTTCTGGAGGCTCCATGGAACCCTAAAGACAACCCGTGGAACCTTCTAGAACCCTATGGAGACCCCACGGAACCCCACGGAACCTTCTGGAAAGTCCATGGAGCCCTACGGAACCTTCTAGAGACTCCATGGAACCTTCTGGAACCCCATAGAGACCCTATGGAACCTTCTGGAACCCTCTGGAACCCAACAGAGACCCTGTCGAACCCCACGGAACCTCATGGGACCCTATAGAACCTTCTAGAACCCCACGGAACCTTCTGGAGACCCCATGGAACCCCCTCGATCCCCAGTCAATCCCAGATGGATCAATTCCCGATCAATCCCCCATCAATCAATCAATCCCTCATAGAGCCCCTATTGATCCGGTATCGATCCCCCTCGATCAATCCCCGATCAATCCCCATCGATCAACCCCCTACAGATCCCCTATTGATCCCCGATCAATCCCCCCTCGATCCCAAATCAATCCCAGATCGATCAATCCCAGATCGATCCCCCATCAATCAATCCCCCACAGAGCCCCTATTGATCCCCTATTGATCGGGTATTGATCCCCCTCGATCCCCATCGATCAATCCCCATCGATCAATCCCCATCGATCAATCCCCAATGATCAACCTCCTACAGATCCCCTATTGATCCCTGATCAATCTCCCCTTGATCCTGTGTTGATTCCCTATTGATCCCCGATCAATCCCCCCATGGATCTCCAATCAATCTCGATCAATTCCCTACAGATCTCTTATTGATCTCTGATCAATCCCCCCATGATCCCTGATCAATCTCTGATCAGCCTCCCATCAATCAATCCCCTATTGATCCAGTGTCAATACCCTACAGATCCCCAATCAATCCCCAATCAATCAATCAATCAATCAATCCCCTATAGGTCCCCTATTGATCTGGTATCGATTCCCCCGTAATCCCCGATCAATCCCCTACAGATCCCCTATTGATCTCTGATCAATCTCCCCATGATCCCTGATCAGTCCCTGATCAATCCCCCATCGATCAATCCCCTATCGATCCCCTATTGATCCAGTACCAATCCCCAATCAATCCCAAATCAATCCCCTACAGGTCCCATATTGATCTGGTATTGATCCCCCCTCAATCCCCAATCAATCCCCCAGTCAATCCCCGATCAATTCCCCCTCAATCCCCACTGATTGATCCCCAATCAATCCCCCATAGGTCCCCTGTAAATCCGGTATTGATCCCCCCCTTGATCCCTGATCAATTCCCCATCAATCCCCCCTCAATCCCCCTTTGATCCCAAATCAATCCCCATCGATTGATCCCCGATCAATCCCCAATCAATCCCCATTGTTTGATCCCTGATCAATCCCCTATAGGTCCCCTATTGATCTGCTATCGATCCCCCCTCAATCCCTGATCAATCCCCATCAATCAATCTCTGCTAAGTTCCTGATAGGCCCCCTATTGATCCGCTATCGATCCCCGCTCAATGCCCCCTCAATCCCCCCTTGATCCCTGATCGATCCCTGATCAATCCCTGATCAATCCCCATCGATCAATCCCCAATAAGCCCCCTATTGATTGGCCATCGATCCCCCCTCAATCCCCCCTCGATCCCCGATCAATCCCCACCGATCATTCCCCGATCAATACCCGATAGCTCCTCTATTGATCTGCCATCGATCCCCCCTCGATCCCTGATCAATCCTCCCTCGATCCTCAATCAATCCCCACCGATTGATCCCTGATCGGTCCCAAATTGGCCCCCTATTGATCGGCCATTGATTCCCCCTCGATCCCCGATCAATCCCCCAGTCAATCCCCAATCAATTCCCCCTCAATCCCCATTGATTGATCCCTTATAGGTCCCCTGTAAATCTGGTATCGATCCCCCCTCGATCCCTGATCAATCCTCCCTCGATCCTCAATCAATCCCCACCGATTGATCCCCGATCGGTCCCCGATAGGCCCCTATTAATCGGTCATTGATCCCCCCTCAATCCCTGATCAATCCCTGATCAATCCCCTCTCGATCTTCAATCAATCCCCCACTCAATCCCCGATCAATTCCCCCTTGATCCCCCCTCGATCCTCAATCAATCCCCACCGATCGATCCCCAATGGGTCCCTGATCAGCCCCCTATTGATCCCCCCTCAATCCTCGATCAATCCCCACCAATCAATCCCTGATAGGCCCCCTATTGATCCGCCCTTGATCTCTGATCAATCCCCCCTCAAACCCCGATCCATCCCCACCAATCGATCCCTGATCAATCCCCCCTCAATCCCCGATCAATCCCCGTCAATCAATACCCGATTGATCCCCGATCAGTCCCCAATCAGCCCCCCAATTGATTGGCCATCAATCCCCCCTAGATCCCTGGTGTGCCCAGGTGTCCCCAGGTGTCCCCAGGTGTGCCCAGGGTCTCTCAGCACTGTCCCCAAGGTGTCACACCCCAATAAATTCCCATTTCTCCCCATTTTTCCATCCCGAGGCCGTTCCAGCTCTGTCCCACGCTGTCCTGGTGATCTCTCCAGGTGTGCCAGGTGAGCCCAGGTGTGTCCCCAGGTGTCCCCAGGTGTGCCCAGAGTCTCTCAGTGCTGTCCCCAAAATGTCAAACCCCAATAAAATCCCAATAAATTCCAAATAAATCCCATTTTTCTGTCCCAAGGCTGTTCCAGCTCTGTCCCACGCTGTCCCGGGATGTCCCCAGGTGTGCCAGGTGTGTCCCCAGGTGTGCCAGGTGTCCCCAAAGTCTCTCAGCACTGTCCCACCCCAATAAAATCCCAAAAAAAACCCCACAAAAGTCACATTTTTCCCCATTTTTCCGTCCCGACTCCGCTCCAGGTGTGTCCCACGCTGTCCCGGCGATGTCCCCAGGTGTCCCAGGTGTGTCCCCAGGTGTGCCCAGGTGTGCCAGGTGTGCCCAGGATCTCAGCGCTGTCCCCAAGGTGTCACATCTCATTGAAATCCCAATAAATTCCAAATAAATCCCATTTTTCTGTCTCGAGAGCGTTCCAGCTCTGTCCCACGCTGTCCCAGCGATGTCCCCAGGTGAGCCCAGGTGTGCCCAGGTGTGCCAGGTGTTCCAGGTGTGTCCAGGTGTCCCCAAAGTCTCTCAGCACGGTCCCACCCCAATAAATTCCCACCAAAATCCCATTTCTCCCCATTTTTCTGTCCCAAGGCTGTTCCAGGTGTGTCCCACGCTGTCCCCAGGTGTGCCAGGTGTGTCCCCAGGTGTGTCCCCAGGTGTGCCCAGGTGTGCCCAGGTGTGCCCAGGATCTCAGCGCTGTCCCCAAAGCGTCACACCCCAATAAATTCCCAATAAAATCCCATTTTTCCCCATTTTTCTGTCCCGAGGCCATTCCAGGTGTGTCTCACGCTGTCCCGGCGATGTCCCCAGGTGTCCCCAGGTGTTCCAGGTGTGTCCCCAGGTGTGTTCAGAGTCTCTCAGCACTGTCCCACCCCAATAAAATCCCATAAAAGTCCCATTTTTCCCCATTTTTCTGTCCCGAGGCCGTTCCAGCTCTGTCCCACGCTGTCCCGGGATGTCCCCAGGTGTCCCAGGTGAGTCCCACGCTGTCCCGGGATGTCCCCAGGTGTTCCAGGTGTGTCCCACGCTGTCCCGGGATGTCCCCAGGTGTTCCAGGTGTGTCCCACGCTGTCCTGGGATGTCCCCAGGTGTTCCAGGTGTGTCCCACGCTGTCCCGGGATGTCCCCAGGTGTTCCAGGTGTGTCCCACGCTGTCCCCAGGTGTCCCCAAAGTCTCTCAGCAGTGTCCCACCTCCATAAATTCCCAACAAAGTCCCATAAAAGTCCCATTTTTCCCCATTTTACTCACCTGGAATGCCCCAAGCTCACCTGGGCAAGTGAGACACACCTGAGCAGGTCAGGTACACCTGGGGGGTCCAAAAAACCCCCAAATCCCACCTGGGCAACCCCAAAATCCCACCTGGGAAACCCCAAAATCCCCACAAATCCCACTTGGGGTACAACATCACTGAAAACTCACCTGTGCAGGTGAGACACACCTGAGCGGCTCAGGTACACCTGGGGGGTCTAAAAACCCCCAAATCCCACCTGGGAAACCCCAAAATGCTCCCCAAAATCCTAGCTAGGATCCCCTAAAAACCCAAATCCCACCAGAAATCCCTTAAAGGTCCAAAGAAACTTCGTTAAAAACTCACCTGGGCAGGTCAGGGACACACCTGAGAGTCCCAGATACACCTGGGGGACCCCAAAATCCCCCCAGATCCCACCTGGGGGACCCCAAAATCCCCCAAATCCCACCTGGGCCCCCCCAAACCCCCCCTTAAAGGTCCAAAGAAACTTCGTTAAAAACTCACCTGGGCAGGTCAGGGACACACCTGAGAGTCCCAGATACACCTGGGGGACCCCAAAATCCCCCCAGATCCCACCTGGGGGACCCCAAAATCCCCCAAATCCCACCTGGGCCCCCCCAAACCCCACCTGGGTCCCCCCAAACCCCCCCGAAGCCCCTCCCAACCCCCGCGGGGCGTGGCCGGGCCTCACCTGGGTCAGGTAGCGGATCTGGGCCGAGAGCTCGGCCTCCACCTTGGCCACGGCGGCGCCGAACTGCGCGGCCTGGCGGTCCAGGTGCCGCTCCTGGGGCTTCTCCTTGGACAGCTCCAGGATCACCGA